TTCACCTCACTTTAAGATTGGCAAGGTGTACCCCCCCCCCACCGAGTGAATCAAATGCCTCAATCTACCACCCCCGCGGGGACAAAATTGGAGTTTCTAAAAAAAAAAAAAAAAAAAAAAAAAAAAAAAAAAAAGCTGCAATTTTCAGCCAAAATGAGCAGTCCCAGCCCATTCTATGTCATCAGAGGGAACAGGTCGGTTACTCTGGGAGGAGGCTTCAGCTTCACAGAATTGGCAATCCCATCGGCCATGCCTTCTGCGCCAGCCTCTGGTCACAGTAGGTCCCTGGCTGTGGCGCCCCCACCATGCCCCTCCCCAGTGCCTTCCCAGAGCTCTGACCCGCCGACCCCCTGGGGTACACCTGCTGCAAAGCGGTCCCTGCCTTGGCTTCTGACAGCATTCTCCGCAATGAGCCGGGCCTTTCTGATTGCCTTAGCTTTTTGTCTTCCTGCCGCAGATCAGAGCTGTTGAGTAAGTTTTAATATGAAATCAAATGCCAACACGGAAGTTTTAGAAAACAGTTTAATATTCCCCTCAGTTCCGGCTGTTGCTAGGCTGGGGATGGGTTCAGAAGAGCCATTTTGATGAGGTGGCTTCCCAGCAGGGGAAAGAAATAATTAAAACGGCATTACAGTGGCTCCTGCGGGATGCAGTGACATTAAAGAGCCACACTGACAAAAAACCTGGTACCGGAACGTTCTGTGCTGCCCGCGTGACGCGCACAGGACCGCGGCCCCTGGAGCCCATGGGGCAGCCCTGCCCTGCCCTGGCCTGCTCACAGGCCTGGAGAGGGCGCTGTGCCTTCCCAGGGATCGGCATTTGGAAAGAACAGAGCTTGGCTAGGCGCGGTGGCTCATACCTGTAATCCTAGCACTTTGGGAGGCTGAGGCAGATGGATCACTTGGGGTCAGAAGTTCGAGACCAGCCTGGCCAACGTGGTGAAACTCTCTCTGTACTAAAAATCCAAAAATTGGCCAGGGGTGGTGGTGCATGCCTGTAATCCCAGCTACACAGGAGGCTGAAGCAGGAGAATCGCTTGAACCCGGGAGGTGGAGGTTGCAGTGAGCTGGGATTGTGTCAGTGCACTCCAGCCTGGGCAACAGAGCGAGACTCTGTCTCAGAGGGAAAGAAGGAGGGAAGGAGGGAGGGAGGGAGGGAGGGAGGGAGGGAAGGAGAAAGGAAGGAGATAAGTTCTCGCTGCGTTGCGCAGGCTGGAGTGCGTCATCATTCACAGACACACACGTAGCACACGGCAGCCTTGAACTCCTGGGCTCAAGTGATCCACGTGCTTCCGCATCCCAAATTCCCCGGACGCCACCACACCTGGCTTGGATGTGATCTTTTGTCCGAATTCTTTTCAAACTGGTTCCGAGGTGTAGGTGTGCCTTCTGCATACCTGGGAGGCCCCGTTAGACTTGACTCTGCCCATTTTCCCCCATCTACCATCAGTTTGAATCTGAATTCACAGCCAGGCCTGGCCAGATGCATCGAGGGGCCGGTTCCGAGGCAGGATTCCGGGTGAACTCGATTCCCGTGGGCTCGGGACGAATGGTCGCTGGGGCACGAGGTGGGGGTAAGACGCGCGGCCTGCTGCAGTTCTTGGTGCTTAGTTCAGAGAAGTTCTGGGCACGACGTTTTCAGTGAATTGTTCTTTGAAGAGGAACCCTGGTGTGCAGGAACTAGGTGAAGGCAAAGCCGTGTGTCTCCACCCACGGGGGCAAATGTCCGGCACAGGGAGGTCTCAGGTCTGCAAGGGCCGAGTGGACACTCGGACAAGGGCGGGACGGTCTTTGCTGATTCTCCTCCTCCGTGTGAGGTGCCTCTCAACCCACACCAGCTCGGGGAGCCTCCCGCGGCTTCAGTTCCCCTTTGACACCCACACAGTGTTATGCAAGCGTGGAGCCCAGAGCCCCGCCGGGCCGTGGTGTCCTAATTGGAGGTGACAAAGAGCAATTTCGTGTTAAAGCAATGGAATCCTTTCCCCCGTTCGGTGTGCCTGTATTTTATTGTCGTCTTAATTGTTTTGAGCAGTGTTTACTTTGGATTTCTGGATGTTAAATAAAAGCCATGAAAACCCTGGCCCTGCCGTTGATCAGGCCAGCCTGGCCGACTGCAGGAAGCAAGCGCTTTTCGGGAGCCCACTGCCATGCCAAGCAAGCACTTCCTAAGCCAGAAGTGCGGTTAGGAAAATGCCTCGTGGTGTCACAATATGCTGTTATTGATTCCAATAAAGAAATCGTGAGCATGGGCCTGTCCGCCGTCTTTGTCCGGCTGTTTCTATCTTTCATGCATTTATCGGTCGTGGGTGGTGCCACCCAAGGAACAGGTGCCAGGGCCTGGTGACTCCACCTGGCCCTGCTTCCCGGGGACTTCCAGGTAGACAGGAGCTCAGGGAAGAGCCAGTCACAGCCCTCTGTGGGGGATGGGACTTTGGGAACCCCAGCTTCCTTGGGGACCACAGGGAGAAGAGGGCAACAGAGTCACAGCTGCAGATGAGTAATAAAGGCTCATCTGCCCCTCTGCCTGGGTCCAGACCATACGAGCACAAAGCTAGTGTCCAGGGGCACAGGCTGCATGAAAACGTGGAGGGGGTCTCCTTACTCTTCATGATGTGACGTCACGGGGCCTTGCGTGCTGACCAGTAAGTGGCTGCTCTTGACTCTGCAGGGCAAGGGACCCCTGTGTGACAGAGATGGTGGCCTGCCCTCTGTGCTGGCCCTGCCATAAATCCTCCTTGGCACAGGTCATGGTAGGCTTCAGAAGCATCAAACTTTATGAAATGATGTTAAAATTGCAACTATTCCAGGATAGCTAGCCTGCAGAAAAAGGCAACCATGCTGTTAAAAAACAACGAACTACCAACTAAAAACTGTGGATGGGAGGAATCTGCGCTGGGAGAAGTGCCTGGGTTTGCGTCCAGCCTTGTCACTGTGTGACCATGACCTCGGGGATCTAAGTCACCCACACCTTCCAGCTCAGGGTTCTGGGTGACAAGTTCAACCTCCTTCCTTCAAAGTCAGCTGTCCTCAGTGGGAAGGGAGGTGCTGCCCCTTCGGGGATCTTTGGCAATGTGTGGAGACAGTTTGGGTTGTCACAACTCGGGAGGAGGCGTTCTGGGCGGATAGGTGGTGGAGCCCTGGTTACCATTTAACATCCTGCAGCGCATGGGATAGGCCCCCTTCTCCCCAGCGAAGACTCATCCGGGCCCCATGTGCAGTGTGCAGAGGTTGGGAAGCCCTACCGTAGGGTGCCATGTCCTTGAGCTGGCCTGTCTTCACCTGTGCTTTTATTGGATAGGACTCAGCCATTCCTATGGATGAGGATAAAACATTGTTCGCTGAGATGCTGAGTCTTTGAGGTCAGCAATGGTGCAGAACCTTCTGGGGATCTTCCGACTGGTCATTTACCAAGGGTCTTGTTTGTCCAAGGCTGGGGCAAGTGGCCAGTGAGAAAGTCCCCTGCCCTTAGCCGGTGGAGTGATAGGTAACTCCCAGGCTGAACTACAAGAAAGGAGGGGTGCAGGGTGGCGAGGGGAGTGGTCAGACTTGACTGGGGAGGGACAGCTGAGGCCTGGAGAGGGTGGGGTGGAAGCCAGTCTTCGAGAAGGAACAGGACCTGGGTGCTCCAGGTGGACTGGAGTAGGGGCTAATCCAGGTGGCTTTAATCCTTCATCTTTTATAAAAATTGGTTTTGGGCTGCAGTGGCTCTGGCTCATGCCTTTAATCCCTGCACTTTGGGAGGCCAAGGTGGATGGATTACTTGAGGCCAGGAGTTCGAGACTAGCCGGGCCAACATGGTGAAACACTGTCTCCACTGAAAAAAAAAAAAATTAGCTGCCATGGTGGCATACATCTGTCATTCCAGCTACTGTGGAGTCTAAGGCATGAAAATTGCTTGAAGCCTGGAGGCAGAGGTTGCAATGAGGCAAGATCACACCACTGCACTCCAGCCTGGGCAACAGAGAGAGATTCTGCCTCAAAAACAAAAAGAAAAATGTAGGTGATATGAGACGGTTCTGAAGATGCTCTTAGACTAACCCGACTCTCCCATCTTTCTCACTTGTAGTTCTCAAATATAACTGCAGTCCGGGTGCGGTGGCTCACACCTGTAATCCCACCACTCTGGGAAGCTGAGGCGGGCAGATCACCTGAGGTCAAGAGTTCAAGACCAGCCTGGCTAACATGGTGAAACCCCATCTCTACTAAAAATACAAAAATTAGCAAGGTGTGGTGGGGGGCGCCTGTTTCTCCAGCCTCCTGTAGTCTGGAGTGGTCCTTCAGTCTTGCCTTATGTTTCATAGCCTTGACTCTTTGGAGAATACAAGCCAGTTGTGTTCTAGAATGTCCTGGAGCTTGGATTGGTCTAGTATTTTCCTCGTGATTAGATTCAGGTCACGCATTTTTGACAGAAGCGATGTGTCCTTCTCAGCCCATCATTACCAGAAGACGTGTCATGTTGATTGGTCTTATTTCTTATGATGTTAATGTTGGTTACTTAGTCGGGCATGTGAGCACACGCCTGTGGTCCCAGCTACTCAGGGGGCTGATGGGGGGAGGATCACTTGAGGCCAGGAGTTCGAAGCTGCAGTGAGCTGTGATCATACCCCTGCGCTCCAGTCTGGGTGACAGAGTGAGCCACTGTTTCTATTTTGAAAAAATACATATTACTTAGTTAATATAGTGTTTATCAAATTTGCACACTAAAAAATGTAACTCTTCTTTCTAATCAATATTTATGAGGAAAGAATTTTCACTTTTGGAGTTTCCTTTCCATCAGGAATAACTAGAAACCTCCACAAAACACAGAAAACACTTTTCAGACATTGGACATGACTTTGCTTCCCCTTCACCTCCCACCATGATTGGGAGGCCTCCTCAGCCATGTGGAACTGGGGCCCATTAAACTGCCTTCCTTTATAAATTACCTGGTCTTGGGCATGTCTGTTTTAGCAGCATGAAAACAGACTTATACACACAGCAACTCTTTGCACTATTCCTGCAGCGTTTCTGTGAGTTCAAAACTGTGAAAGCAAAATGTTAAGAGGTGAGTCAGATCTGTTATCCCCAAGAAAAGGGTGGCAAGTGAGGTGAGCCCTTTCCTTGCCTTGGCTTTCTGCCTGGACATCATTCCTGGGCTATGCTGCAGTGAGGGGGACCCAGACCGAGCCAGTTCTCACTGATTTGAGAGGCCAAAGATCAGAGCGTGAGGAGGTTAAGCTTATTAAAAACAGACACCAAAAGAATATTTCTGCCAGAAAAATTCCAACACCTCTTAAAGAAATGCAACAAAATTCAGGATCCAACAACATAAAAATTTAATGTCTAGCATTCAACAAAAAACTCTTACGCATACAAAGAAGCAGGAAAATGTGACCCACAATCAAGAGAAAAATATGTCCACAGAAGCAGACCAGGAAATGACAGAGGGGATAGATTCTACAGGACAACTGACCTGGATGCTAATAAAAATGTTCATGTCAGGGAAGATTGTTCTAGATTAAAGGGCTCTAAAGAGACATGAAAACCAAATGCCATCACATGTGATAGGTGATGTCTCTTGGAGTAAATGGATGGATCTTGGAGTAAAAAAAAAAAAAAACAAATGCAGCTGTAAAAGATAACTTTTTGAAGCCTTGGTGAAATCTGAATGTGGATGGAATATTAGAAAACCTTCTATCCATGCTAATTTTCTTAGGTGTCATAATGGTACTGTGTTATGCAGGAGAATGTATTTGTTTTTAGAAGAAACATTCTGAAGTATTTAGAGATATTATCCCTAAAGTGATATGATCCCTGCCATGTATTTATTTTTATTTTATTAATTTTTTAAATTCTTAGTTGTGGTTAAAATACACATAACATAAAATTCACTTTGTTAACTACTTTTAAGTGTACAGTTCAGTAGTGTTAGGTATATTTGCATAGATATATTTTAGACTGTGTCTCTAAAAAAAAAAAAAAAAGGCTGGAATAATTCCCTTCTATCTGTGCCTTTTGTTGTTGTTGCTGTTTGTAATGAAGTCTCACTCTGGGGCCCAGGCTGGAATGCAGTGTTGTGACCTTGGCTCACTGCAACCTCCACCCCCTGGGTTCCAGCAATTCTCCTGCCTCAGCCTCCCCAGTAGCTGGGATTACAGGAGCCTGCCACTGCGCCCAGCTAATTTTTGTATTTTTAGTAGAGATGGGGTTCCACCATGTTGGCCAGGATAGTCTCGATCTCCTGACCTCCTGATCCACCTGCCTTTGCCTCCCAAAGTGCTGGGATTACAGGCATGAGCCACTGCACCTGCCCAGCCTTTTTCTTAATTGGGGTTTGGGGGTGCTTGGATTTATCTCCGTGTTAACTCTTCCACTTCTTAGAGTGCTTCTCTTCCCCTAAACAATGCTCTACACACATTGCTTCGTGAGTTGTGGATTTAGTTGTCTGTTGTAACTCCACACCACATAGGATTAGATTCTGCATCTGATTTTTACCTATAGGAGCCCTGCAGACCCAAGAGATAAGAGAGACTTTGAGGGCTATCAGAGAACTCCCTGTACTCTGAGCATACCTTGAGCCGAGAATGTAAAGCACTGGGACTGTTCTTTTCTTGCCTTAAACTCTTTGGTGTGATGTTAACAGACTCACCCCACAGTCCTTGTATTGCCTATGGAAGCCACAGCTCCGCCAGAGCTGGAATTCAATACTACTTAGTTCTGAGTGATGACAGGTAATTATTTTGCCATCACATACTATGAACTGTTAGAACTCCATTCTCTAACAGTTACTAGGTCCCCACTGCCTTTAAATCAACCAGAACAAGTAACCAATCCCAGTTCCCATCCTGGAGGACGTGCTGCCTGCGATCGTTTCTGGTAACAAATCCGAGGTTAATTGGGATTCAGTTGCCGATGACGAGAGCCTCTTCAGTTTGAAGGGGAAAGGAATCTAATACGGGAAACTGTACAATTCCCCAGCCGTTGGAAGGCTGGAAGCAGTGCCTCCAGCAAGGACTCTCGGAAGAATACTGCAGAGCTGGCTCCTGAAGGACGCTGCCATGTGAGGCTGGCCCTAGAAGCACGGTTTCTGGGTCGAATGCTTTAGGTTCACCTCTGCAAATCCACTCCCCGCCGTTTTCTCTCCTGATGTCTGTGGACTGCAGCAGGGCACTTCTTACCTCTGGCTTCTGTCTGGATGTGGCTGGGGGAGGCCCTGGCAGGAGGGAAAAGACAGAGAGGTCTGGGCAGGTATTCCTCCAGCAGTGCCCTTCTGCGGGGTCACCACGAGCTGGCTGTGTCCCTCTACTAAAGGCCACAGCTCCCACCCTGAGCCCCTCTTAGAGCTCTGCTGATTCTGTTCCCGGGCTCTGGCATCCACCCCCTCCTTTGCCCTGTAGGTTTTGAAGAAGTAATAGCTCTCCCATGTTGCTAGCCAGGGTGCAGCACCATCTCTTCTGAGTTTCCTTAACCCTGCCCCAGCTGTCCCTCATCAAACAGCCTTTAGTCAGCACATGGGAACGTGCTGTCCCTTCGCTGCTAGGACTGTGACTGCTACAACTGCGTGGCTGTGATCCGGGGTCAGAAGCCACCACCAGAACCGCTGGGTCCAGAGCTGGGCTGAGCCTGCTACACACACTCCAGCAAAAGCGGTCCCGCATGGTCGCTTCTCTCCCCGCCTGTCACGAGCCCCAGTCAGGCGCAGGCACATCAGAATGGCAGAGACGGAATCGTGCATCCCAGTTTCTTCCTCTGTGATTTGGGGGTGATGATTGTACCTACCTCATGGGGTTTCCTTCATTTTTGAAGGCCCAAAATGATGTTTGTTTCATCACCAATGACTCCGTCAATATGAGCAACAATACCAGTATGATGTTTTGTCATTTTTAGTTAACTTTTTACAAGCACCCTACTTTCCTGCTCTCACCCACCCCTGCCTCCTGCTTCCCACCTGATCTGGCCACTTTCTGCCTAAGCTGTCAGAAGGGGTGGACCGCTTCCCCATCACCTGTTGCTAGGGAAACTCACCATTTCAGCCCGGATGGTGAAGATTCCAGCCCGAGAGACCAGCTGGGGTCTGCAGTGTTTTTCTATCTACTGTGCTGAGATCTCTCCTTCTTGGACCCTTCCATGCCTTTGCATATGCTGTCCCCTCCACCTGCCACGTTCTCACCCCTTCTTCTTCCACTGCAAACTCCTATGCAGCCGTCAAGGCCCCATTCTCCTCTGGAAAGCCTTCCTTATCCCCTCGGCAACAACAGCCATCAATTTCTATTCACCGAGCCCACGTTGTGCCAGGCATTGTTCTAGACGCAGGTCTGTAACCATGATCGGAAGAGGCAGACCACAGCTGCTCCTGAGGGGCAAAGGTCTGGTGGTGAGGCAGGCGTCACACACCAGATGGCTGACTGGCTGAGCCAACAATGCCATGGGTTTATGTGCCTTGAAGGAAACCCCCAGGGGCTATGGTAAAAAATCACAGAGAGGGCCAGCACTTTGGGAGGCTGAGGTGAGTGGATCAACTGAGGTCAGGAGTTCAAGACCAGCCTGACCAACATGGAGAAGCCCCCGTCTCTACTGACAATACAGAATTAGCTGGGCGTGGTGGCACACGCATGTAATCCCAGCTACTCGGGAGGCTGAGGCAGGAGAATCACTTGAACCCAGGAGGTGGAGGTTGTAGTAAGCCGAGATTGTGCCATTGTACTCCAGCCTGGGCAACGAGAGCGAAATTCTGTCTCAAAAAAAAAGAATTATAGGGAGGACCTACTTCAGGTAAGGCAATTAGGGAAGTTGAAAACTGGGCAGGGGCCTCTAGGTGGAGGGAACAGGATATGTGAAGAGGCCGAGGCAGGAAGGCAGGTGGTCCCTGCGGCGGGGACAGAGGTTAGGGGATGAGGATGCAGGTCACCCATGCTGGGGCTCATGGGCGGGGCTGCACACCCTGCGTGTTATTTTAAGAGCCATTGGGCGCTGTTGGTGGTTTGAGTGAGTGGGGACAGGAAGTGACTCCTCTGACTGTTTGTGGGAACCCAGCTCAGGGGCGGGCAGGGGGTGTGGGGAAGGCTGCAGCCCAGAGTCCAGGTAGGAAGCTTCCCCGCGGTCCGGGAGAGGAAGGGGCCTGGGCTGGGCGGGGTGTGGAGGTGGGAGCACGTGAGGCAGGGTGTGGTCGCTGGGCTGACCGGGTGCTGCTGCTGGTGGTGGGTTGCGGGGGTCAACCCCAGGCTCTGGCCGAAGTAGCTGCCACTGTGGAGGTGAAAAGCCTGCGTGGAAACAGGTGTGGTTGTGGAAGGCGGGCAGATTGAGAGACGTGGGAGCACTGGACTGAAGTGCTGTGGGACGGGGGCCGCGCAGGAGGCGGGCACTGGAGCTCTGGGCAGAGCTGTCTGTCGGGCCGGGGCAGCTTCGAGTTCACAGCGTCCTCCCCCTCGGGCCCTGCCGCAGAGAGGAAGCTCCTGCCAGCTGAGTGGGCCCTGGAGGAAGTGAGCAGCCGACCTCCCCCCTCCTGGCCTGGCCCCCGAAGCCCCCACAAGAACCCGGAACCTGCTTTTATTCGGAACCCAGGGACCACCCCTTGTGCCCAGTAGGCCTCCGGTTTCCTGCGTGGAGAAAGCAGCCGGGTGAGTTCTGGTATTGGGGCCACCGTCCTTAAGTGCTGGGGGGCACGGAGGGAGGGGCCCAGATACCACCTGAGAAGGACCCCGGCGGGCAGGCCCAGCGGAGGCTGCTTGGGGAAGGGTGTCGGTAAAGTGAGACCTTGAGTCCCCACGGCACCTCTGCTGCCCCTGCTTAGAGGTTGGTCAGCGTCCTCCCTTCCTGTTCTATGGAGGAGTTGCCGCCCCGGAACTTCAGCCCCTCTGTCTCCAGGTGAAGAAACTGAGGCCCCGGGGCCAGGAAGGGGCTTGCCCAGACTGCTGATCCCTTTGGGCAGCATCGAGTTCAGGCCCTCCTTGTAAGCACGCATCAGGACCAGAGAGGGCAGGGGGTTTGCCCAAAGTCACACAGCCTGAGTAAGGAGGAGCTGGCCTGGGGCCCGGGCTTCCTGATGCCCAGGCCGGGCGCTTTCATCTTCTCTGGCCATGGCCCTCAGCTTGGGGATTAAGGAACTGGGAGTCAGTTCTACTGTCTGTGTTCCCCATCACCTCCACGCTGCAGGCCAGGATGGAGTCCCGCGTCCCCCTCCCCAGGCTGACTGCCGGTCTGACACAGGTGGCTAGGCCGAGCAAATGCCTCCATCTCCCACAGCTCTGGGGGCTCCCTGCTCTGGACACCAACATCTGCCATGTGACCCACCCCCCCCATGTCTGACTGAGTTTGAAAACACCGAGAAGACCGGGGCGCTGAAGAGGGAGGAAGGAGGAGGCCAAAAGCCGCCAGCCGAGCTGGCGAAGGCTCCGCGGGAGAGGAAGTGGGCCAGGGGACAGGAAGGAGGCTGGGGTGGCCTCTGGATCTGCCCCTGTCTCGGCACATGGCGAGCCCAGCCTTCTGCCTGTAACGAGGATGAGGAAGATGAACAGGGCCTCTGTCAACCCTGAGCCTTCCGGTTTATGGGACGGGAGATGTCACCTTCCGCGTGTTCACCCCAGCCAGCCCCACACAGGCCGGCCGGGAAGGTTCCCCTTGAGCTCATCCCGACAAGCTCTGAGGAGTGAGCTGTACCCCCTTTGTCCTGATGTCTGGGGTAGGGTGGGGGTGCATGGATAGGAGGGTAGGGGCCGCAGGATGGTGACGGGTGACCGCTCTGCACCTGCCTGAGGAAGGACCACGTCCCCACCAAGCCTTGCTCAGCTGTGTCCTCAGCCTCTGGGCCTTTTTCTACCCCATCACCCAGTGAGGGCTGGCTCAAGCCCTCTTTCTCACAGGGCCCGTACCCCTGCCTAGGCTGGTGCAATGCCATGTCCCCGGAGCCCGGCTTCCACCCTCCTTCTGTGCCTCTAGGTTTAGAGGACATGAGTTTGAGGCTTCTCGGACCATGACACCCTCTCCCACATTCTCCGTACAGGCTTGGAGGCAGGCGATGGAGCTGGAGTCCTTGTATGACCTGCTGCAGCTCCCCAAGGGGGTGGAGCCCCCAGCAGAGGAGGAGCTCCCACAAGGTGTGTGCCAGGACGGGTCTGAGGGCGGAGGGTGAGGGTCTGCATGGCAAAAGAGCGAGCCTGGCCATGCCTGGGATGTGCAGTGCCTTCCCAGCTGTCAGCTGAGTGCCCAATTCTGCCCATCCCTGCCTCCGCCTTCCACCTTATGCTCAACCCAACTACTCCTCCTGGAACCTTCTGAGGAGCCAGAGCCTCCTCTCTCCAGGTGAGAGATGGTGCGGATTACAATGAATTACAGTGAATACCGATTGCTCTTGTCCTGTGAGCCTTCTGTGTGCCCCTACCCACCAGCACCTCTTACCTGTAGCAACTCATTTATTCCCAAGGGTGGCCATCAGTGCCTGCTTTATACAGATGAGGAAACTGAGAGACAGGGGGTGACATGCCACAGTAGCAGGAAACTCTTAGCAGGTGGTGGAGTGGGGTTCTGAGCCCAGGGAGGTTCCCAGAACTGAGGTTCCGTGACCACCATGCAGCGATGCCCACCACTCAGCGATGCCCACCACGCAGCGATGCCCACCACGCAGTGATGCTTTGCAGGCTGTGGGGCTCCTGATGTGCTTCCCTCACATGTGTGAGTCTCTTTCAAAAGCGGGGTGAGCATAGGATGGAGCAATTCAACAAGTGTGGGTCACCCTTTCAGCAAAGCTCTGTGTTGTGAGCCCTTTCGGGAGCTGGCAGCCGCAGTCCCTGAAACCTCCTTCCTAGGAGAAGGCTCAAAAGAAGGGCAGGGGCAGGTCCCAGAGCTGTCACAGTCCCTGTGTTCTTTGAAAGAAACAGACCAACAGCAGCATGCCAGGAAGCAGCCAGATGTCCCAGTGGGAAAGGGGTTTAGGTGAACTCATTGGAATTTATGTAACCATGAAAACATAGCCAGGTGCGGTGGCTCACCCCTGTAATCCCAGAACTTTGGGAGGCCAAGGCAGGCAACTCCTGACCTGAGGTCAGGAGTTCAAGACCAGCCTGGCCAACACGGTGAAACTCCTGTCTCTACTAAAAATACGAAAAAATTAGCTTGTCATTGTGGTGCATGCCTGTGATCCCAGCTACTCTGGAGGCTGAGGCAGGAGAATGGCCTGGACCCGGGAGGCGGAGGTTGTGGTGAGCCGAGATCACGCTGCTGCACACCAGCCTGGCAACAAGAGCAACACTCCATCTCAAAAAAAAAAAAAAAAAAAGAAAAGAAAACCTAAGCATGCTGACAAAACGTGTGAATAATTTAAGGGAAAGGAGCGGAATGGGGCTTTCTCCAGCTCCTGTGAATACCGCCTTTTTATTTTTATTTTTTTTTCTTGAGATGGAAATCTCACTGTGTTGCCCAGGCTGGAGTGCAGTGCTGCGACCTCGGCTCTCTGCAATCTCCACCTCCCAGGTTCAAGCCATTCTCCTGCCTCAGCCTCCCGAGTAGCTGGGATTACAGGCACCTGCCACCATGCCTGGTTAATTTTTGTATTTTTACTAGAGACGGGGTTTCATCATGTTGGCCAGGCTGGTCTCAAACTCCTGACCTCAAGGGATCCACCCACCTCGGCCTCCCAAAAGGGCTGGGATTCCAGGCATGAGCCACCGCACCCAGCCCTGAATGCTGCCTTTTAAGTAGATGTTATGGAGTGAGAACTCCAGCGCCAACAGGGTCCCCGGTGTGGCAGGTCAGACGCCGAGTTGCCTGGCTGACTTCTTCACCGTCTGGTATTCTGTGTTTAAAACGCTGAAGATTGGAAAGTGTCTGAGGAAAGCAGCTGAGTTAGGTTAGCAGAACTTAGGTGCTACGGTAATAATAATAATTTATTTCTTGTGTTACAATTGATTTAAGATCCTTAAAGTTCTGGCAAGCAGAGCTGGGACATTGGATGACTCAAGTCACAAGAAGTCTGCTCCAGGAAGGAGCAGCACCATGTTCATTCATTTGTTCATTCATTCGCCCGCTTACTCGCCCAAGCACTTGCTGAGAGCCTGCCCCTTGCTGGGCACCTCAGCCCGTGATGCTGTTGCCTTCTCTTTCATCAGAAAACACGGGGCTGGATAGCTCTCTAAGGTTTTCAGCATGTCTAGGAAAAGCCTTTATTGGGGTCACATAAGAGACAGCGCATTTTGTGAATTTAGGCAAGACAGTCCCCACTGCTGACTGTTTCCCCCCATGTACATTGGGACTAGCTGATCTCAGAGGTCGTTCTCAGCCCTGACATTTTGTGGGTTCTGTGAGTCTAAAATGTGGGTGGCTGTTGGCCCGACCTTGGAGAAGGGGAGCTGCTGGGCCTCCGAGGGCCACCCTGAGGAGTCTGACTGCAAGAGGGGCCATGGAGGGGCCTGGGAGACCTGGGCTAAGCCCCACCTTAGCCCCTTAGAGCCTGGTGAGCCTGGGCGCCGCCTCCCCTCTCTGGCTGGGGTTTCACTTTACCTAAATAGGGAGGGTTGCCACATAAGACACAGGATGCCCAGTTAACTTTGAATTCCCAACAATCAAGAAATCCCTTCTGAGTTTATGTCTCAAAATATAAATGCTGCAGTGTCTGAGGGTGAGCTGGTGCTGGCGAGGGAAGTGAGGGAAGGCGTGCTGCGGTGGAAGTGGCAGGACCAGTGCCCCGGGGCTGAGGGGCTGCGTTCCGTGGGTGATCTGCAGGGAGTGTGGCCAAGCACCCCACAGGGTCCCCACGTGCTTGTCATATCCATTCTGCTTCCAGGAGGAAAGAAGAAATACCTGCCACCCACTTCCCGGAAGGACCCCAGATTTGAAGCACTGCAAAAGGTACAGCAGCCTCCACAGCCCTGACTGCCCTGGTCACACTCTCTGGGCAGAGCAGGCAGTGGCCTCCATGGGGGGGGGACAGCGGGATGTCTCTACTCCTTGACCTCAGGCTGGGGGGTGGCGACCCCCAAAGGCCCCTAGAAGCAAGTTACCCACAGAACCTGCATGTAAAAACATGTATTGAGCACCAACTGTGTGCCTTCACATACACCATCCCAGCAACCTCATGGGATTTGAGGCAAATCTATTATTCCCTACATCCCGGGGATGGGACAGATAGCGAGGCTTAGAGAGGTGACCTGATCTGTCAGGGGCACGCAGGTGCCTGTAACGGAGCTGGGGTTTGACATGAGCTGCTGGCCCCTAAGCCTGCGCTCCTCCCCAGCTTGGCTGCCCAAGGTGAAGGAGAACTGGTGGGACAGTGGCAGTGGGCCTGTGGCACCCATGCTCAGTTCTCTCCTTGGTCGTGGGTCTGCTGCTATGGCCACTGGACCAGCTGGGCACAGGTGGGCTCCAGGCCTCTGTTTCCCTCAGCTTCTGTCTCCAGTCTCCACATGGCCTCTCTCTGTTGCCTCCTCCAAGGAGGCCTCCTGGGCTATCCATCTTCCATACCCAAAGGCTTTGTGGACCATTTTCCATCCTCCTTCCTATTCCCTCACTCCCTCCTTTCCCACCTTTGGCCAGCACACCTGGCACAGCCCTGTATCTGGCATAGGGACACAGAGAGAGCCACCCGTGGTCCTGCCTGGAAGACCTGGGGTGATGCTGACACATCATCCCAGCTCGGCTCCTCCAGAGGCTGATCCTGAGACAAGGATTTGGGTGCCAGTAGTTGAGTTGGGAGGTTGTCCCAGGGTTCATGGGAGGAAAGGGGCTCAAGCCTGCTGGGTACCCTGGAGCCAGCATAGAGCAGGCTCAGAGCATTCCCGCCCGAGTGGTGACAGAGCTGGGGTATTTATTCACCATCTTCTGATAACCTTTAGTTAACAGCTGCTCCCTGAGAAAGGGCTGGGCCTTGACATTGATTCCCTGGCACTCTGACCTTTTGAGCACAAGCAGATTGGGACAGCTTCCAGCAGAGCTGCAGGTGGGAGCCGGGCTAGTGGGCTCCAGTCAAGGAGTGGGCGGGGCGCCAGCACCCCCGCATTAGCTTCCTAGGGCTACTGTAACTTGTGGCCGCAGACTGCATGGCTTAAACCACAGAAACGTATTGTGTTACAGTGCCGCAGGCCAGAGGTCCTCGGCCAAGGCGCTGTCAGGATTGGCTCCTGGAGGCTCTCAGGGGGCCGATGTCCCCTCTTCTCCCCCAGCTCTGATGGCTGCAGCCTCCTGGGCTTCTGGACCCGTGGCTATGTCACTCCAATCTCCACCTCCGTCTACACGCCCAATGTCGTGCCCCCCATTTCCTCCTGGGACCTCACCAGGAGCACCTTAATGGCCATATGTCTACTGACCACCTCTCACGGCAACCTAGGCTTTTTCTATCAAGTGTTCATTGTCCAATTCTTTTCCTTCTTTAAGCTATCTCCCCATTTTTAGGTATTTGCTATGATAGTACCCCACTTCCTGGTACTAAAATCTCACACATGGTAATGACAGCCCCACACTGCTCAGGTTTGTGACGGAGAGAAGCAGGGAGTCTGCAGGAGCCCAGAGCAGGCCCCCAGCTCAGCCTGGGAGATCAAGGAGGGCTTCCCAGTGGAGGTGACATTTGAGCGGGCCTTGAAGGATGGGTAGGAGTTGGCAGGTGAGAGACAGGCATTCTGAGCCAGGTGTGGGGCCAGATGAGAAGTTCCCACCCCCACCAAAAGTCACCCCCTTGGGGCCTGCAGGTGCTGATGGAGTGGATCAACGCCACTCTCCTCCCAGAGCACATCGTGGTCCGCAGCCTGGAGGAGGACATGTTCGACGGGCTCATCCTGCACCACCTGTTCCGTAAGTGGCTGTTTCCGGGGCTGCCTGGGCCTCGGCCCCACAGGCGGGCTCCCTCCCTCACTCCCCACAATGGTCCGGGGTTTAGGGACACCTGTCTTACTTTCTAGATGGGCCTGTGCTGGGGAGATGGGGGCGCTATCTGCGGCCCACGAGTGAGGGGGCCGAGCTGGGGCTCAGGCTGGGGCTCTGACGCCTGGGATCCTTCCACCACACCACACTGCATCTCCAACACTCACTGAGTACCTGCTATTTTCAGGTGCTGCGAGGTAACAAAAGAACCCACAGTCCCTGCCCTCCAGCTGCCCCAGGCTGCTGGAGAGAAAATGGGCAGTCTTGGGGGGCTGGGGCAGGGCTAGGCTCCTGCTGCCGTGTTCCTCCTCAGTCTGGAAAGTTCCAAGGTGCTTTGCAGTGGGTGTTCATGCTCAGGGCCTCCTCCTGGCCCCAGGCAAGTGTTCCCCACAAGCCCCAGAGTCGCCCTCCCTTTCCCCTTGTGTGGTCATGTTGGTCTGTCCATCTCTTTTGCACAAAACTGTGGTCTTGGAGGCCACGGATAGGCCCGATGCCATGTCCTTGGCACTTAGCCTGGGGGCAGCCTCCACAGTATTTGCTGAGCTCTTTGCAGGTGGCTAGACCATCCCACACCTGTGCTCGCACTGCCAGGCACGGCCCATGTAGCAGGTGCAGCTCATTCTGAGAACAACCGGTGCTGTTAATATCCCCGTTTCAGATAAGGAAAGGGAGCCTCTGAAAGTTAGTCCAAGCTCCTCCTCAGTCTGGAAAGCTCCAAGGGGCTTTGCAGGGGCTGTTCACGCTCAGAGCCTCCTCCCGGCCTCTCCAGGCCCATGTTCTCTGAAGCACCAGGCAGGTTCAGCCTCCTGGAGGGGCCCCGAGGTGCTCTCTGGGCTGCCCCCAGCCAAGGGCCCTCACCACCCTCTCCTGCCTCCAGAGAAGTTGGCAGCGCTCAAACTGGAAGCAGAGGACATCGCCCTGACAGCCGCGAGCCAGAGGCACAAGCTCACCGTGGTGCTGGAGGCCGTGAACCGGAGTCTGCAGCTGGAGGAGCGGCAGGCCAAGTGGAGCGTGGAGAGTATGTGGGCCGCAGCCACCCCGGGGGAGCGTGGGGCCACTGGGGCCCTTCTGCTCCAGGCGTCTCATGCACCAGGAAGGCGCGCTCATCCTCCCCACGGCAGGGGCACAACCTGGGAGTAAGGAAGGAGGGGGAAGCCTCAGGGAGCCACAGGCAGGGATCTGGCTGAGCAGCCAGCGGTCCAGGACACGTCTGTGCCCCAGAGGGTGTCACTGCAGCAAAGAGCAGCCCAGGGTCGCAAACGGTCTCATGGAGAATGACAGCCACTGTTGAGCTCCAAGTACTGTGGTCTGCCCATCCGCACCCCCATTTCCTTCAAGTACTGGAATATCTGCAGGGCCTGCTTGTACAAAAAGTGAGTGTGCCTGGCCAGGCACGGCGGCTCACGCCTGTAATCCCAGCACTTTGGGAAGCAGAAGCGGGCAGATCCCCTGAGGTCAGGAGTTCCAGACCAGCCTGGTCAGCATGGTGAAACCCCATCTCTATTGAAAATATAAAAATTAGCCAAGTGTGGCGGTGGGCACCTGTAATCTCAGCTGCTCAGGAGGCTGAGGCAGGAGAATCACTTGAACCCGGGAGGCGGAGGTTGCAGCAAGCCGAGATATCACCATTGTACTCCAGCCTGGGTGACAAGAACAAGACTTCATATCAAAGAAACAGCAACAAAAAAGAGTGCCAAACGCCAAGATTTCCCCACCCCACCCGGTTCACAGTTTGGCACAGATTTCCTTCCCATCCATTCTCTGTATCGTCCCCTATCCCAGATGAGAACAGCGAGGCTGAAGAGTTAAGCAGCTTCTCCCAGGTTGGGCGGTGAGGGCTGAACAGAGTCACCCTCCGAACCCAGCTTTTGTTGGGACACATGCTCCTGCATCTGCTTCTTTTAAGGTCTCACATTCAGTGATTGATGTTGATGAAATCAACCCTGAATTAAGTCACATTGAGCTGAAATCTAATGATGGCTCAGCCAGGGCCTTACCGTAGGTCACTTGGTGCTTCCAGTTGTGAACAGTCTACAGTGACCATCTTTGTGGCCAGAGCTCCTTCCACAAGGTAGACTGTACCCTTGGGCTATATTCTAAGAAGTAGGAAGATGGAGGCAAAGTGTGATGATTTTTTTTTTTTTTTTTTTTGGAGAAGGAGATTTGTTCTGTCATTCAGGCTGGAGTGCAGTGGCACAATTTCAGCTCATGCAACCTCTGCCTCCCAGTTTCAAGCAATTCTGCCTCAACCTCCCGAGTAGCTGACACTACAGGCGCATGTCACCATCCCGGCTAATTTTTGTGTTTTTAGTAGAGACGGGGTTTCACCATATTAGCCAAGATGGTCTCAATCTCATGACCTCGTGATCCACCCGCCTCAGCCTCCCAAAGTGCTGGGATTAAGGCATGAGCCACCGCGCCCTGCTGAAGTGTGATGATTTTTAGGTTCTGAACATGCATCTCCAGATCTCTGCTCTCCAGAAGGCTGGACACAGGCCTCCTTGGTGTGCAGGTGGTGGTGGTGACAGTGAAGAAGCCTTGGCAGCCCCCTGGGCCCTGACCTGTCTCTTCTTTCCTTCCAGCCATCTTCAACAAGGACCTGCTGTCCACCCTGCACCTTCTTGTGGCCCTGGCCAAGCGCTTCCAGCCTGACCTGTCCCTCCCAACCAACGTCCAGGTGGAGGTCATCACCATTGAGGTAGCAGCCTGGGCCCCAGGGATTTGTAAGCAGAAGCTGAGCATCTTGAGTCCGCATTGCTTTGCCCTGCGTGGATGGTGCTGGCTGGGGTGGGCTGATCCAGGGTGAGTTTCAGGGAACCCCGAGAAATAGAATCCTGCCAGGACAACCACGGGGTGCTGTCTAGGGCTGGGGGTGGGCTGTAAAGAGTCCAGTGGGTCTGGCAGAGACCTGAGGGCATGAGGAAGTCCAGGGCTGGCCAGCTTCTCTTGACCTCAGCAGAGGGCATCTGGCTGGCAGAGGCTGGGGCCAGCGGCTGAGCCATATGTGGCCGTCTGTTCATGGCCACGAGAGAGCCTTCACACCCCTGAGGCAAAACCACCGCTCTCACCATAAGGGCACTATCTCTTGTTAGAAAACTGGCAGCTGTGACAGTGCCCGTTCTCCTCTTTCAGGAAGCCTTTCTGGATTTCCCCCGCCCCAGATACTCTGTCTAGTGTGCGGCCTGCCTGTGCTACAGTTAATACCCGGGAATCCACAGCTTCTCTCTCCAGACAGACTCTGAGCATCACAGTAGGGGGCCCCACCGGCTCTTCCCTTCCTCTGATCCCCCGTCCCACCCCGGCCTCGGGTTCCTGGTGCATAGGGGCCTCCTGTCTGAGGGTGTATCTCTGACTCTCCCCAGAGAATAAGCCAAGTTTGGCCAAACCCAGTCAAAGTCATTTATACTTTTTTTTGTTTTTTGTTTTTTCCAGATGGGGTCTTGCTCTATTGCCCAGGCTGGAGTGCAGTGGCACAATCTCAGCTCACTGCAACCTCTGCCTCCCCGGCTCAAGTGATCCTCCCACTTCAGCCTCCCAAATAGCTGGGACTACATGTGCGAGCCACTGCACCCGGCTAATTTTTTGCGTTTTTTGTAGAGACAGGGTTTCACCATGTTGCCCAGGCTGGTCTCAAACTCCTGAGTTCAAGTGATCCACCTGTCTTCGTCTCCCAAAGCGCTGGGATGACAGGCGTGAGCCACTGCACGCTGCCTTCTCCTGGGTTTTAAAACCATTGATTATAATTCCCTACCGAGCAGTTGTGTGGCTTTGTCCTGCCGACATAACTCAGAGGTGACTACATTGATTCACTCCTTCACCATTCATTTGCTCACAGCCACATGCTCATTGATACTGCCCTCCTCCCGCCGTGAGACTCTGGGGACACCTCGGGGAGCGAGGCAGACACAGCCCCAACCTCAGGACTCCTGGGGAGGAAAGACAAGTCAGGAGGCCATCCTGAGGAGGGGGTGAGGCAGAGCAAACGGGTCCCTGGGACCGCTCTGGGCCCGAGCTTTCTGGATTATTTAATTTCTTCCCTCCTTACCTTTCTTAGAGCACCAAGAGTGGTCTGAAGTCAGAGAAGTCGATGGAGCAGCTCACCGAATGCAGGTGAGGGAAGGACAAGGGTGCATGGCTGGGGCTGGGGCTCAGCAGTGGACGGGGCAGGACGGGGGCCGGGGCAGATCTGCCTGACCTTTGCGGGAAGGGCTCCACGCTCTGGCTTTCCCTCAGACCAGAGAAGCCCACGCTGACCCCTCCATCCCACGGTAGCACTCAGGCCCCTTTTGTTCCGGCCTCTACCCTGGTCCCTGCCTGGCCCCTCCCAGCCACCTTGCTTTGTTCTCTGGGGTGGGGGCCCCTGGGTTTGGGGCACAGGGCCCAGTGAATCTTAGTCTCTCTAGTGTGAGCAGGATGTGCCTCTGTCTTTGCGAAGCTGTAAGGGTCTTAGAGGCCCCTGCATGGCCAGGGGCTGACCATCTTGCTCCTTACCCACTGGGGTGTGTGGGCATCCTGCTTTGGGATGTGGCCATCCTTTTCCCCACCCATCCTGCTCCCCACCCACTGAGGCTGGCAGTCCTAGTCCCTGCCCACTGGGGGTGTGGCCATCCTGCTCCCCGCCCACTGGGGCTGGCAGTCCTAGTCCCTGCCCACTGGGGGTGTGGCCATCCTGCTCCCCGCCCACTGGGTCATGGCCACCTGCTGCTGCCCGTCTTGTTTACTCTGCACCCGGCCCTGTCTTGTCCAGACAGCTTTCCCCTTTAGTTCGGAGGAGGCTATCAGCAGGAAATTAGATTCCCCTCCCTTACCTAACTTTCACTGAAAGCCTATTATGCGCAGGCATTGGGCTGAATGTTTTAGCCCTCACAAAGTGCAGTGAGGCATGGTCAGTTTTCTTTAGCTCGGAGAGGGCAGGGGAGTGTCCAGGGCCTCACGAGGGGTTAGGGGGGCAGAACTGGGATTCAAACCCAGGACTGGGCTATGCTTGGTTGGAGCTGTGGCTTGAGGAGGAAGCTGGGCAGAGGGAGCCTAAGAGGAATCAAGACCTTCTAGAAAAACGCATTAAATAGCCTCCCCGTTCTCAGCTGCCATCTTCCCCCTCCCTCCTGGGTCCCTACTGTCCCCTCAGGTCCTGTGACTGGGCCTGCTCAGGCCTGCCTGAGCCTTTGCCCCCAGCCCCCTACCCGATATGCCTTCCATGCTCTCTCCCTCCTCCTGTCAAAGTCAGGGCATGCTTCCTGTTCTTGGTCCAGGCTCTGTCCTGCTGGACCACCAGGTCCTCTGAGCCAGGCCCAGCACTGTGGGTTCTCAATGCCTGTGTGGCCCTGGGTTCCAGTTTCTCTCCATTAATTGAGGGAGTCAGGCCAAATGCCATCCAACTTTAAAGGTTCTGGATTCTGTGCAGGAGTCTAAGGTTGGCACATAAGAGCTGCCCAGAACACTCAGTCCACGCGCTGCAGAGAACAGGTGGGGCCTGGAGAGGGGTGGGCCCCTGGGGCAACACAGGCTGCCAGCAGGTCCACCTTTGCTGTCTTCCATGTGGCGCTGGCTCAGGCTCAGGGCACAGCTGGGGCACAGCTGCTGGGTGCCTTGCTGGTGACATGGCAGCTGTGGGTGGTGCCCAGGATTTCTGACTTCTTGTATTAGTTACTGATTGCTGAGTAACAAGTTCCCCCAAAACTTTGAAGCTGAAAATGACAGTGAACATAGATTCTCCTCACAGTTTCTGTGGGCTTGGAGCTCAGGAGCAGCTCAGCTGGGTGCTTGGGCTCAAGATCTCTCATGGGGATGCAGCCAAGATGCTGGCTGGGGAGGGCTGCTGTCCACTTAAGGCTTGGCTGGGGCTGGAGTGGTGTGGACGGAACATGGCGTCTGCCCTCCTGGCAGCCTTGGCCTTGTGTGCTGAGCCTGGGTCCCTGTCATAGGCTGCTGGGCTCTGCCCTGTGGGGCCCAGCTCTCTTCTGGAGGGTTCTGGTTGGAGGGATTTGGCCTGCCCTGGACCTACAGAACTTCTTTTCTATGGGGTAGGGTGAAGCTAAAAACTTGACCAAAAAAATCAAAGAAAAATTTTTCAAAAACAGTAAAAATGGAGTGAAAGAAGCCAGACCCAAAAGAGAACATGCGACATGGTTTCAGTTACATGATCTTCCAGGACAGGCAAAACCAATAGAAGGCAAGAGCAGTCACAGCCGTGATCAGTGCAGGGAGGGAGGGATGGAAGGGAGGACACATCGGGGGGCGGGAGGTTCTGCATCATGTGAGGGACGGTGATCACACAGGATGCCAGTGGCCTCAGTGGGACATGACCTAGGCATCTAGCCACCTGAGTTCGGCTGGGTGCTGGGGCCTGGGGTGGGGAGGGAGTCTGGTCCCAGATGGACCAATTGGCTCATGAATAAAGTAGCCAGAGGTGTTACCTCTCAGAGAGGCTCTGGATGGGCATTGGCTGGGGAGGGATGGGGCCGATATACTCCCACTCCCAGTAGCTAAAACCAATAAAGCCCTTACTAGGTAAAATGCACGTGCTGTAAACTTACAGCTTTTGTACTTTATGATATATGTGATGGATCTCCCTTAGAACAAAGCAGGAACCACAAAACCAGCAAAATCCAAATGTTTCTAGGTGTGGAAGCCTCAGAGAAGGGCATGAACCTATGTCTGCTGTTTGCCTCCCACAAAGACCCTTTCTGTTACCTGCCCTACCTACAAAGCTGCCAGAATAACCACGAACATGCCAGTTTCTTTGCAACCTTGCCGGCACTGATGTTTGTCATGTTGAGAGACTGCAGGTTTGCAGGGCTTCTTTCTTAACCATTTGTTTGCTTTCTCCACCCCCTTCAACTTCTCCTGTAGCACAGACAAGGACCAGCCTCCGAGTGAGTACTCTCGTAATTTTTGGAAATCTGTTCCTATCTGATGCGTGTTAATGCAGATGAGTCTTGATGCAGGGTTGGTTAATTGCTGAGCATTCTCTCATTTCCTCGTCGCCTGCTGTTTGTGTCTCAAGCCTTATTCTTATTCATTTGTCCCTCTTCCTGTCTGTCCATCCACGGAGCTGGCTGCTCCTTCTCACGATACTGTCTCTGGAGGGAGAGGAGTTTATAATTCACATGGGCAGTGATGGTGGAGTCCGTTGAGTGTGTGGGCTCTGGGGTCAGTGGCCTGGGTTCAAACACCAGTTTTCCCACTCATGAGCCACTTAAGCTTGGGCAAGTATCTTAACTTGTCCATGCCTCAGTGTCCCCATCTATAAAATGACCCTGACCCTGACCCTGACCCTAACCTCTTACACTGGCAGTGAGGGTTAAAGGAGATCATCTGTGAGTGCATTCAGCATGTGGGTAGTGCTCAGTAGTGAGTGGACAGTAATATGGCTTCTGCCCTTCTGACAGAGCTGTTCGCCAATCAGTTGATTTATCTAGTTGTTACTTCTTTCATTCATCCATTCCTTTGTCAGTAGTCTGGCCAGCTCTTCTCCATCCATCCATCCATTTATCCATCTATCAATCCATCCATCCATCCTTTCTTGCATTCATCTATCTGCTCACCCACCTATCCACCCACCCATCTATCCATCCATTGATTTATCCATCTCTGCACCCATCAACCCATTCTTCCATTCATCCATCCACCTACCCATCCATCCATTCATCCATCCGTCCATCCATTCATCCATCCAGTCACCCACCTATCCACCCACCCACCCACCCATCCATTTATCAATCTCTCCATCTATCCAGTCATGCCTCCATTCAACGATCCACCTACCCATCCATCCATTCATCCATCCGTCCATCCATTCATCCATCCAGTCACCCACCTATCCATCCACCCACCCACCCATCCATTTATCCATCTCTCCATCTATCCAGTCATGCCTCCATTCAACCATCCACCTACCCATCCATCCATTCATCCATCCATCCATTCCTCCATTCATCTATCCAGTCACCCACCTATCCATCATCCATCCATCCAGTTACCCACCTATCCATCCATCCACCTATCCATCCGCCCACCCATTCATTTTTCCATCCCTCCATCCATCCATTGATGCTTCCATTCATCTATCCACCTACCCATCCATCATCTATCCATCCATCCGTTCCATTTATCTGTCCAGCCACCCATCCATCCATCCATCCACCCACCTATCCATCCATCCATTCATCAATCCACCCACCCACCTATTCATCCATTCATTCATCTATCTACACATCCAACCACCTATCTATTCACCCATATCTGTCCATCCCAACACTATTTTTTTCTCCCTGTACCCTCCCCACTTAGACACATAGCTACGTGGGCAGGGATGCTCTGAGGAGCACCTCACCTGCAGAGACAGAGATACTAACCTGCCAGGAAAGTAAGTAGCCTCTGAGAATGGGGGCTGACGGAGACAGAGTTTTGGGGGAAAGGAGAAGTGGGGGGCAAGGAGGGCTGGCTGGGGAATCTGTGTTTGCAGGGGGAGGGGCAGCCTGAGGACATGAAGGGTTGCCCAGGGAGCAGTATTTTGGGCAGGTGGCAGCATAAAGTGGGAGTCACAGGGCGAAGAAAGGGCGCAGAACGGGATCATCTGATGACACATTTGCCTCTCCTTTCCTGGCTCCTTCAGTGATGTGATTTCCCTGACCACTGATGTTTCCACCATGTCGATTGTCAGTTGGTTTTAGGGGCCTTTTAACGTGCACGATGCTATTTGGTGCCACTTTCCCCTCTTCACGAACAAGTGAACTGAAGCACAGAGACGTGCTGTGATTTGCTTAGAGTCACACAGCTCCTGAGTGGCAGAAGAAGCCACAGGCAAACTTAGGCCAGTCTGTGTATTTGGTGCCCAAGGACCAGTGTTCCCATGGGAGGAGTGTTAGCTGCTGATAGCAGGAACCCAGCTTGTGCACAAAGGGCATTAGCCATGGGGCACCCAAGGCTGGATCCCAGGGCCTGAGCCGCTGTTCCCAGACTCCAAGGGAGTGACTGAGTTGCTGAGAGAGCTGGCCTTTTGCAGGCAGCAGATTCAGACACTCTTGGGGGTGGGGCAGGGTGGGGTGAGGGGGTGGGCAGTGGGGAAGAGTCCTTACTCAGCCACTTTAAAAGCAAGGGGAGGGGACTCACAGAACTAGCGTCAGCCCCAGGCTGGCCCCATCACCCACCTGTAGCAGCTCCCGTAGCCCCGGGGAGGCGAGCAGGGCCCTGGGAGGAGGGAGGGCCAGCTGGCAGAGGAAGGGATGCAGCTGTGCCTACACGGTAACAAGTGTCAGCTGCAGGAAGAGCGGCTGTATACTGAAGTCCTACTGTGTGCTCAGTCATCATGCTGCTGGGCCAGGTGTGTTACCTGCTATCAAACAATTCCATCTCTGCAACGACTCCAGCTAGGGAGGCGCAGAGAGAGACGGTGAATCCCTCCGGGGGCACATGGCCAGGGGAGCAGTGACTCAAATCCAAGTCTGTTTTATGTGAGAACCATGATCTAAAACGGCAGCTCCCTCTGGACTGGTTATTCTAAGAAACTTTTGTGAAAAAAAATTCCCTGTTTGGCACAAAGATAATAGCATCGTAATGAGGTGTTTATTGGATCTGTGTCTGCAGACGACGTCTTTGATGAATTATTTAAGCTGGCTCCGGAGAAAGTGAACGCAGTGAAAGAGGTAGGAGAGATCAAACCTCTCAGCGGCTCCCGGGCCGCCCACCCCACCCACTGCCTACCTGCGCCGTAGGAGGGAATCACGGGTCCTTGTGCCACACCTGCGGTGTGCTAGGCCCTTGTTCTTCCTTGGTTAGGCCATCGTGAACTTTGTCAACCAGAAGCTGGACTGCCTGGGCCTGTCTGTGCAGAATCTGGAAACCCAGGTATGGACTCAGCGGCGGCGTCTCCAGGCAGGGCAGGGCCACTGGCCATGGGAAGGAAAGCGTCTGTGCGCCCTAGAAACCCGCTGTGCGGTGGTGGGGGTTGCATCGCCTCTTGGAGCCTCAGGGTCCCCCTCCCCAGTGTGACTGCTGCTGGCAGGCAGCACTGGCCACCAGGGACACGGCAGAATCCCGGGGGCGGGGGCGTGGGAACACTTCACCAAGCTGGAGTCACCTCGGCTGTCACTGCTTCTCATTGTTATAATTTTATTTCATAATTAATCTTAGCCTAGCCCATGCCCAGACTTGAAGCACATGAGTCTTCCCTGCGTGGTTGTGTTCGCCCAAACAGAATTTATTAGGTTTGTGCCATGCGCCAGGCGTAGGTGACAACGCAGCCCCTCCGTCTGCAGGCTCTGCGTCTCTCATGAGCACCCGAAGGAGCCCAGTCCTCCCCTGACTGCCTTAGACCTAATCGTCCCAGGAGCAGAATCTTGGGGGTCAGCACTGACCGTGGGCTGTGGCTTTCCACAGTGGCGCTGTGCCCGCAATGCAAGGGATGGGGGCAGAGGAGCAGAGTGGCTGCCAGCCCGGCGCCTGCAGAGTGGGCATGGAGTCTGCTGGATGCCAGTGGCCTCAGTGGAACATGACGTAGGCATCTAGCCACCTGGGTTCGGCTGGGTGCTGGGGCCTGGGGTGGGGAGGGAGTCTGGTCCCAGATGGACCAATTGGCTCATGAATAAAGTAGCCAGAGGTGTTACCTCTCAGAGAGGCTCTGGATGGGCATTGGCTGGGGAGGGATGGGGCCGATATACTCCCACTCCCAGTAGCTAAAACCAATAAAGCCCTTACTAGGTGTCAGTCCCCCTGCAAAATGCTTCCTACATTAACTCATGGAATTCTTCCCCAAATCCCCTGAAGTGGGAACTGTATTACCTCACCTACAGAGGAGGATGTTAAGGCACAGAGAGGCTAATTAACTTGTCTAAGGTCACACAGTGATATGTAGTGGATCTGGGATTTGAACCCAGGCAGCTGGGGCCAGAGTTTGTGCTTATAACCACCTCACATGTGGCCACGTGAGAAGTTTGTGTGTGATAGGGTATGGCAGCATGGCAGGGTGGAAGTACCAGGCTTTGAAGCCAGACAGACACACATTTCCCTCCTGCCTCCACCAGTGATGGCCCCTGGGCTCTGCTGACACCCCTCCACATTTGCTGTGTGAACTTGGGCGAGTTACTGGTCTTCTCTGAACCTCAGGCTCCTCTTATAAAGTGGGTGCAAGACGGCAACCTCATAGAATTGTAAGTGGTACATGAGCCGGTGAGCCGCACATGTTTGGTCTATTACTTGGCACGCTGCTGGCATGAAATAAATGAGAGATTTGCAGTTTTATTATATTTTATGTGGACATAAACAGGATGACTTCTGAGATTTGCATATTACCTATTCCATCTTTATCTCTCCCTTGGTAAAATAATGGCTTTGGATACTCATGGCATGTGCGAAGTTGGTATTTAGAGACTGTTCAATAAAACGGGGCAAGGAAGTCCCTTGCATTTCAGTTGTATTACCGAGGAATAATGCAGAAAAGATTTCAGGCCCAAACTAATAACATTGAAACAGACATAATAGGAGGAAATTCCATTAAGGGCTTTGAATGGCGGTTTCTTCCAATATCCCATCCTGTGTTTTGTATCTTTGAAGAGACTCAATAGGATTATATTAGCATATTGATATGCTGGTGGTAGGGACGACAGCTTTGTCTCAGAACAGACAGAAATATTAATATGGCAGCTGGCAAGATGGGCCCTGTGTGCCGCTCTCTGCTTTTCCCTGATGGAATAGTTTTGCATGTAACTCTGTTTTCCTGTGTTTCTGTAGCTTGTGGAACAGCGTGGTGTTTAAAAACTGGCATGAGGCTATTCTACAGCAAGTTTAGGAAGCACTGTTTTTACTGAGCATACACTAGGTACCAGGCAGCCTGAAACCGCATCTTACCTGCAACCCTGTGAGGTCAGGAAAGTCTTCCCCACTTCTCACCAAGGAACCAGAGGCTCAGAGAAGTTGTGTGATTTCCTTAGGACCACACAGCCTGTAAAAGACAGAGTGGGTGTCCCCAGGCTTCTTCCACATGATGGCCTCTTGTTCCTTCCTTTGTAGTTTGCAGATGGGGTCATCTTACTCTTGCTGATTGGACAACTTGAAGGCTTCTTCCTGCACTTAAAGGAATTCTACCTCACGCCCAACTCTCCTGCAGAAATGGTAAGTTCTCCAAAGATTCTTCTTGATTGTCTACCTCTGGGTGAACAGATAAACAGAAATGACATGACACGTGTGTTTATTCAGTTCCAGGTAAAGTGAAGGATGTAAGGGAAGCTTGTTTATCTATGTCTACCTGTCCGTCCATCCATCCACCCACTCACCTATCCATCCACCTATATACCTATCCATCTATCCACCCACCCATCCATCCACTCATCCACCTCTCCATCCATCTATATACCTATCCACCCACCCATCCACCCATCCACCCATCCACCCACCCATCCACCCATCCATTCATCCACCCACCCATTCACCTATCCATCCACCTATATACCTATCCATCTATCCACCCACCCATCCACCCATCCATTCATCCATTCATCCACCCACCCACTCACCTATCCATCCACCTATATACCTATCCAT